ACAGCTGGGGTTTATTATAGGATGGATAACCCCATTTACCTCTTCAGCTCCATGACCACAGGGTGCTGTCTTTGCTGCCTTCCTTTGGATGAGGTTGGTTCAGTGTCAGCTGCAGCCAAAGCTGAATTTTTCCATCCGTGCTCAGAAAGAATTGCCTTTCCCCTGCTTCCCTACACTGCCTCTACAGGAGTTGTCTCAAGATGATGTGAGGGTGGGAGAAGGGAAGAAAACGGAAACACTTCTGAGCCCTGACAGAAATCAACCTGCTTTAAAGAATCTAATAGTGCCTGCCTCTGTAGGTCTCATGTGCAAACAAAGGTGGATTATTTGTCATGCTAGGGCTGGGTTCTTTAAAGGGTGCTGGAGAAAGTAAGCTCTAAATGCTACAGAAACCTTTGAAAATCTTAGTTGCAAACAATTACTGCTCATCTTTCTTCTTCCCTTGACTACATCTCTGTTTTTCTCTGAGACAGTTGACAGACTCTAATCTGTTCAAAAATCATCTTTCCCTTTTCTTGGACATCTGAGTTCCCTTTTAATGTTTTACAGTTAATGTTTTTTACACTGCAGCTTCAGCTAACGCCTGTGAAGACACACAGCTAATTAATTAACCCTCTGAATGTCTTTCTCCCTATTTACAAAAATACTGCATAACTTCTGGTTCATGAATATTGGTAATACTCACACCAGGAAATGCCTGTTCAGAGGTAAGGGGAATTTTCTCCTGTAGCTAAATTACTCCAGGAGTCAATGCTTGTATCAGTGCACAATCACTTACCTGCTGTACTTTCAGTGGTGCATCTGGTCTCAAATAAAACCCATCCTTTCTTTTTAATTTTTTTTTAATTGTAGGGAACAACACACAAACCTTTTCATGGCTCCAGTGAAGTGGGTGTCTGTTGTCTCCCATGGTTCACACTGTTTTGCAAATCTTCTGTCATGGGGATGCATAGCTGGTGAAATAAATTACTGGGAGCAGTCTCAAGCTGTGTTGCTGGAGTCCTACAGGAATCTTCCCCATCAGAATTTTCATTGCTGATTGGATCAGGGGCTAGGAAGACACGTGTGGGAATTCTGTAGGATCCAGACTGGCATAGGATTGCAAGCCAGTTGACCAGGTTGCTCTGTTACAAATAAAGGGACCACTTCAAATCAGGAAAAAGGGGTTTGTGAGCCACTTTATTCAGTGTCTGAATGTCAGATATTTCAAGCCTGCACAGCAAGGATGGGAGGTGACAGAACCAGACTTCTGGCATGCAAATGAAAGCCTGGCAGGACAAGGAGGGCACCAGGGCTTTCAGCAGAAGCATGAGCCCTGAAACCTCCACCCTCACTTCCAGGCTGTGCCCAGCCCAATTAGAGCTCGGCAGCTCTAATTGCAGATGTTTATTATTTCATTGTGTGCATGTGAGAGGGAGAACTGGGGTGAGCTCTGCATTTGGGATGCTCCCTGCAGGCACAAATACTGCAACAACTGCATTCATTGTGGTGGGGCATCAGAAACAGGGTGGCTGTCAGGCATTAATGGTGTGTAGTAGGATCCTGTACCTGCCTTTAAACGTTTCCTTGGACATGGGAAGATATTTCTCTCCTTCACAGCATCTGATGCAATATGATCCTGAGAAAAAGGATTGGGGTTAAACCATTGTGTTTGCAAAGAAAGAGGTTCTGGTGGAACTCACAGCCCCAGTGCTTGGTGCTTAGGCAGCAAGAGAGAGAAGGGATTGGGGCTCCTGGAGTGGCTGGATCACATCTCATGTCAGTGTCTCCTCCTTGCAATTCCTCTGATAGTAACTGGCTTGGTCTCCAACTATCCTAAATTGGGAACATTATATATCCTAACTGCTGGGAGCATTATAGAAAAATACATTTTCTTAATTTTATATATATTCTTTTCAATTTCTATTTTTACATGCTTGGGGCAACCGAAAACGCTTAAAGATCCTCACAAGGACTGCAGAATAATGTATTGAAATAGCACATTTCTAACTTGTGTTGGGGGAATTGTGGCTAAGATAGATAAAAGTATTCCTAAGAATTTACTATATGGCATAAGTGGTGAAGATCACAAAAACCAGAAGACAGCAAAGAGCTGAACTGAGCTCTAGGCTGTGCCTCAGTGTTATTGTGTCTCATCTGAGCCACACAGTGACATACTGTAAATGCAGGCGAACCCAATGGGAAGAAATGCTGATGTCTGACTCAATTCAGAAGGCTGAATTATTTCTTTATTATAACTATGCTAAAATACATTAATATACTATATAAAAGGAGGATACTAAAACTACACACTACTTTCTCTGACTCTAACTCTCACACAACTCGTGACCCTCTCTGAGAGCCCAGCCCCAGGTGGGTTGGATTGGCCATCAGGCTCAAACAATCCTCACCAGAATCCAACCAAGCAACACCCCAGGGAAACAATTCTCCAACCACATTCCACATAGGAAAAACAAGGAGCAGAAATAGAAATTGTTTTCTCTTTCGTTTCTCTCTGTGCACCTCTATGAAAATCCTGAGAGGGAGAGAAATGTGCTTGCCACAGTGACAGTCACCTGCAGTCTGTTACAATGACAAGAGAATTAATGACAAAAGAAACAGAATTAGTGGCACTTTCTTACATTGTTCTTTAGCCGTGAACTCGGGAGCCCTTAGGTGGTTTATCCAGAAGGATCCTGGAGAATTTGGTGGCTCTGGTGGAGGCAGGGAGGTGATGTTTCTGGGCTCTGCTGTTCCATGTTTGCTTTGGACCCCAGCACACAGCAAATGCTGATCTCATCCATAACTTTTGGCAGTTGGCACATGCTGCTCTGTTTTTCCTCTGAGGACTTTGTGAGATGCAAGACATACTTCAATTAAAAAATGGCAGTTTAATGTGGTTATTTTTATCAAAACAAACCAAATAAGTTCTTTGTAATACACACCAGTGCTTAATTTCTTTCTAAAACTAATTAAAGTTTTGGCTTCCACTAGTGACAGAAAAGTTTGGACAGTTTTAACCCCAATGGCTCTATTTATCCTCATTTATTATTCTAACAAAATAACATTTTGAAAGGAAAAACAAACTAGAAATTATTAATGCCAGAGATGCCAGGAAATGAGATATAAAACTGAACCTAGCCCACGTGGATGTGGGATGTGTGCTACCACCACAAAAGTCAACTGATGTTCACCCCTGCAGCTGGGTGAATTTACACCTCTGAAGTGCCAGCCAGGGAGCTGAATGATGCTGATGAGCATCTTGTACGTGCTCAGTTTTCCTCAGAGGCACCATTCTCTTACTCAGATTTTTGTTAAGGTCTCTTAATATGCTTTGAATTTTCTCTAAGTGCAGCCACGTGAGAATTCCTGACAGGAGAGCAGTGTCATGCAATGATCAGTTGCTTGTTTTCCAAAAGGCATTGAAAATGTCAGCTGTTATTGAATGAGAAAAGTCCCCTGCCAAAAGTATAATTTCCTTAAGGAGAACGGCTGCAGCTCTGTGAATTCCATGCTGTGAGATGATTTCAGGTGACATTGGCTAAAGCAGCCCAGGTTTTAAAACCATCAGCTGAGCACTGGGGTGGTTCTTTTCTCTGGAAGTGAGTTCATCTGGCATTGATTTGTCAGAGTCACAGCCTGTGGTCTGTAGCCATGCTTGGGTTGCAGTCCTGCTATTTTGGGATCATCATCTTTAATTACCAAAGGGCAGAGAGAATCCAGAGGTAAGGAGCACGGCTCCTTCCTCTGCTGCTGATGGCAGACAGGACAGACTGCAGGAAATCTAGGGTCTCCTGCCATTTTGAGATGAGATGGAGTTATTTATTCTGCATTTCTAATGCTTGGATATAGGATAATTTCCACAGTGTTGAAATTTAGGGTTATTAAACTTTGAAAGAGCAGAATTTCCTGCCACTGCGTGCTCTGCCATCTTCTCAGCCAGCCAGGAAGAGCAATGACTGGCAGGAGAGTGTGAGGAGCAGTCACTGGGCTGAGCCCTGCAGTTAGGGATGGTCCCATTTGTTTTTGCTGAAGTGTCGGTGGGAGGTTCCCTCTCCATTCAGCAGGACACCTCTGCCAAGGACTTTGTGGGGACAAACACATCACTGCTGCAAAATGCACCCCTGTGGCTTTCCCATGGTCCATGAAGCAGAGAGGTTCTCCCTCTAGTGCCAGGGGAAATCCAGGGAGGAGCAGGGAGACATCCCAGGAAGGTCCAGCCATGCTCTGGTGGGAATCTGCATGTGGAGAGAGGTGGAGCCAGGAAAGGAGGGACAAATAATTCTAACGGGAGTTGTGAGACCCAGAGAATAAAAGGTGTGCTGCACAAAGAGCTGTTCCCTTCCTGCTGTGTGCTGAGGGGTTGGGGTCCCTGCAGTGACCCAGCTGTTGGTGAAGGAGGGTTCCCAGTGTCAGCCAAGGGAGTGGCAGTGAAGATGATGCCTGGAATGGCTACCTAGAACAGAGGCCAGACAGAGTTAAAGCAATAAAGTGAGTATTTATTAAAGGCCTTTAACAGGCTCACCTTGGGCAGTGCAGAGCCTGGCAGAGGCCACACCCAAGATACACGATGGGCAGGAGTTTTTTGGGCAGATATAATTTGGTCTATTTGCACATCAGAGGTTCATTCTCCATTTACAGCTTCAGGTAATGAAGTCACAGTGCCTCAGTTTGCTTCCCCCCAGTTTACTTTTGTTTATACATTTTGGGGCCTGAGGCTGTTGGGGTGTCCTTGGGTTCCAGGACTAGAGGAATTGTTCTGTCTTACCAAAGTGAGAAGGCAGTAGTTAACATTTTATATGAAGTGTAGAGTTATTCACTATTGCAGCACAGGATTTGAAAAATATAAAGGCTAAAATCTTAAGGCAGCATCCCCCCCTTTAGAGGCTTGACAAGGAGAAGCTCAGAGCTCAGGTGTCAGCAGCATCAATTCCTGCTGCTCTTCTTGACTGGAAGGATGCTGTGATCAGTTTGGGAGTGGAATCCAGCAATCTCCATCAATCTCTGGTTTGCTTTGCCAGGACCTCTGTGAAGACCCCCACCTGCTTGTGGATGGAATGAGCTCCCACGACTTCCACCAGGGCAAGCTGGGGAACTGCTGGTTTGTGGCTGCGTGCTCCTGCCTGGCTTTGAGGAAAAGCCTCTGGCAGCAGGTGGGTGATGGGTGTGTGTGGTGCAGGAAATGAAGCTAATAAACCAAGCTAACCTTGGCTGTTTTTCTCCCTAGGACTAACAAGGGGTGAATTTTGGTGGATCCAAATCTTCCCTCTCTTTAACATGTTCCAGGGCATAAACTGGGAATAAACCTCAGCACAGTGCTGAACTTCCCTTGCATGGTTTCTCAGGTGATTCCAGACTGTAAGGAGCAGGAATGGGACCCCAAAAACCCAAGGAAATACGCTGGGATTTTCCGTTTCCGTTTCTGGCGCTTTGGAGAGTGGACAGAGGTGGTGGTGGATGATCTGCTGCCAACAGAGAATGGGGAGCTCATCTACTGCCGTTCCAACGTGAGGAATGAATTCTGGAGTGCTTTGCTGGAGAAAGCTTATGCTAAGTATGAGCTGGTTCAATGTCCTTGCAGTCCTCAGTGTTGTCCCTTTGTTTTGTCTTTAAATTCTATCAGACTTTCCATAGGTTTTGGTTTTGCTGCTGGTAGAGGACCTAAAAAAGACTGAGAACTCCTTTAGTCTCTGTTAAGGATGTAAATCATAAAGGAGTGCAATGCAGTCTACTTCAGCAGCCCAAATCCTTAAGGATCCCAGGAACCAGGGAAGATTTACCTGCAGTCTGCCCAGGCTTTTTTGTTCCCTTCTGTTTTGTCCTTAGTGAGACACAAACGTGTTCCCTACATTCAAGCCAAATTAGAGCACTTGTTCCAGGCCCCTGTAAACTGGGAATGTTCTGTGTTGCCCCCAGGCTGGCTGGATCCTACCAAGCCCTGGATGGAGGCTGTGCTGCAGAAGCCCTGGTGGATTTCACTGGAGCAGTGGCAGAATCCATTAATTTGGAAGAGGGCAAATATGGTGAGGTTATTTCTGAGCAGATGAAGCTGTTTGAAGACTTGATGAAAGTGCATAAAAGAGGAGGGTTCATCAGCTGCTCCATTTCGGTGAGTACAGAGAGCTGGATTTTAAGCATTTATTTCAATGAAAATATTTTGGAAGAAATACCATTATTAGGATATTGAGTATGTCCTTCCTTTGCATGTTTGGAAAAGCTTTCTATGGAGAAATCTAGCAAGTGCTCCCAGCTCCAGAAGCCACTAAATACAATCACAACTGCTTGTGCTGCCACTTCACTGTGTGTCTGAAATTCTTTTTTCTGAATGGTCACAGTTGTGAATTGACCTGAGGTAAATCCACCCTCATTTACTGAGCAGATAGCAGCATTCAACTGCTTTATTTCTTAGAGAAATCTCTTCAGAGAAAACAGTTCTGGCACAGAGCTTTGGTTGTGCCAGTGCAGCCAGGGTAGCAGTGGAGCTGAGCTGAAAGGCTGAGCTCACCTGGTGATTCAGGTAATGCTATTTGTTATTGAATATACTGAATAATCTCCCCGCTGGAATTAACCTGCAGAACTTGCCTGTGCTGGCTGAGGTGAGGCTCAGGTACCTCAGTGCCCACACAGGGAGGCCATGGCCCTGAAGTTCCCTCAGTCAGTAGAGAGGGGATGGTTTCTGAGGAAAATTTACCCCTCTCAGTCCCGTGCTAGAGGGTGGATGAGTAACAGCTCCCAAGGGATGCTTGGTGCTGCACAGAGCACCTCTGCCCTGCCCCTGGCCACAGGAGGCAAACATTGACAGCTGGACTGAGTCCCTTTCTGTGTAAATCTGCAGTGTCAGGCCCTGGCTGGATGCTGCTGAAATCCTCACCTTGTCCACAGCTGTTATCACATCTGAAGGGCTAACAAACTGCTAACAAACTGCAGTGGTGCCTGAATATTTCCTAAGAAATCGCTTTTAAATGATTTTTTAAATCACTTACTGCAAACCATTAATCCAGCAGCCCACAGAAAAGGGATAATTCTCTAGGAGCTGCAGGGTTGGCATCTAAATGCACTTCAGCATCTTCCTCCCATATCCCTGCTTCAGTTTAAGGCCTTAGCTAAGGCTGATCTTAGTTAAATCACTTAAACATTTTGCTTTAATTTCCCTATCTGTGAATGAAGAGGATTCATTCATAAATCTTGTAACTATGAAGAGAGTTGTGGAATTGTAAAGAACAGCAGAAAATTAGCTGGTTTTGGAGATTCCTGAGAATGTTACCAGGGCCTGGCACCAAAGAGGAGCACCTGGTACCTTCTGGGACACAAACTTTAACCTGAGATACAACAGGGACTGTCCCTTCCAGCAACATCAGGAAACAGCTCAGAAACAAAAGCTTCAAGGTCTTGGAGTTTTCTTTTACCATTTTTTCATAAGGCCTGAATTTTTATTTGCAAGAATTCCATCTGATTTGCTCAGAGCAGGCCTGGTGTGAATTGGTACTGCAGACATTGTTTCCAGAATGATAGGTTGCTCCCAAATGCTAGAGCAGTTCTGTTTCTTAACAAGATTTTGGTGAGGTGATTGACTCAGTACAGGGAACTGTATTTTAAAAAGAAAATAATTAGGAAATTGTAAAGCTTTCACTGTGTCCTGGCATTACGTTTCTGCCTTCCAAATGCTTCTAAACATTACAGAGAGGCCATTCCTAAGTTTGCCTTCATTTGTCACTTTTTGATGTAATACACACACACATAGGTGTAGAATATTTAATACCCAAGTGGCTTCATTGCTGCCTTACAAACATGTCATCACTTGCCTTGGATTACAGAATGGCCCTGAGCATCACCATTTGGAAATCTGAACCGACAGGAGATGCTTCAATAGCTCATTTGAATAAAGAAATAAATAAGTATTTCACAATGAGGTGGGAAAGGCCAGCAGTGAGCAAAGCCTGGGGGTGATAAAGGCAGCAGGAGAAGTTACAGACTGCCGTGCTGTCAGGGACTCCTTGTTTGCTTTTAGCTGTGAAAATGCAGGGAGAGTGTTACACAGGGGATGTCAGCCAGGCTGGGGAACACTCGGGCTGAGGCTCTGGGAGCTGTTGTCAGCGAGAGGCACAGAGGGCTTGGTGACACTCTCACAGTTGCCAGCCCATCTGTCAGTTCCAATTTGATAGGAATTTCTCCTTCCCCTTTCTTTTTTTTAATGTGATTTCCTGCCTTTGGGGACTGAGCACTGTTATATCAGTGCAACATTTGCCTTAGGACAAGGACCTTGTCTGTTTATACCAGTTAAATTTTGAAATACCAGTAAAAATATCTGAGGAAATACTATGTACATTTCATACCTGTGGAAAATATTTTATTTAAGTATTATTATATTAGCACTAATATATTAATGTGTAATGATTAAAATATAGTAATATTTAAATATTTGCATTAGTAACACCAAGAGGCCATACCTCTTGCTCTCTCCACCACAGCCAAGGCTTGACTGAGCATTAATTAGGTAATTACAAGGTTACACACAAGGATCTGCACTGAGTCAAATCTTCCTTCCTTGATGTCCAAGGGAATGGGATTCCAGGCCCTGTGGGTGATAGGTGAGAGAGACTCAAGGGTGGCTTGGCTGGATTGAGGGAGGGTGTGAAGAATCTGGATCCAGGACCATCAAAACAACTCCAGCACTTTTGTATGGTGCTGCTTTTCTGGGTTTAGATCAGGATTTGGATGCATTAAATGAAATTGTGTTCTTTTTCTGAGCTTGACTACTTTTCTGTATTCTTAGATCAGCACCTGATCAGGCCGAGGTCAAACAGGACAATTTAGGGACAGTTTAGGGACAGCATGATCACTGCTGAAACTGGAACTCTTATGTGGAGTTTATGATGATCAAACCCCATTCCTAAAGCACCCTGCAGACCTTCCTTTGTCACGTTAGAGAGCCCTGCCAGGAGAGAGTGCAGTACAGGACACAAATGGCTTGGAAGTTTTTTTACTTGTGCCTGTGCTCTCTCATTTTTACCCACTGCCAGTAGTTCTTCCTGGGTATCATATTTATTCTAACCACTGGATCAGCAGCTAAATTCACAAGTGCCCAGGTGAGGACACCAGTCTGGGCACAGCCATTGGTGTCCAGAAGAGCCATTTGGTACAGATGCCAAGATTTTGGAAGGGCTGATTTTCCATCAGCCTTGTCTGTACCTCTGAGGCCAGGAGGAGACAGACTGGCAGGCAGGGTTCCCCTGTGTTCTGGGATTGTCTGGCACTGGAATTGTCTGGCACTACCAACACCACACTGGTGAGCCCCTAGTTCTGATTGCCACTGCTGTTCTTATTATGCATAGTAAAATCACTCAGGAAGAGAATGAAAAACAGATTTTTCTTGCACGTGGAGCTGTCAGGCTCCTCAGAGATGTGAGTTCTTGTGGGTCTCAGATTCAGTCAAAGAGAGAAATGGAGAGTTTCTAGCCAGGCAGAAGCCTGGGAAAGAGTTGGAAAATAATGTAAATAATTCTTTATCTCTCTTGTTTTTCACATTGTTTATAGTTAAGTTCTATCACTGTGCATCAAGCACTCTGCATAAATGCTTTGGATTGTTTTCACTTCAGGACCAGTGGAGTTGGTCCTCACGAAACTCTGTATGAAAGAGCGGTGTATTTAGAATAAATCAGAGTTTTACTCTCACAGCCTTCTGAGTCAGAGTCTTCTCATTCCCATCCTGCTCGACAGCGACAAGTTCTTTTTGTTTAATTGTCATTCTCCATGCCGCAGGAGTCCCCTGGCCGGCCCAGTGAAGCAGAGACAGGGATGGGGCTGATCGTGGGCCATGCCTACTCCGTGACTGCCATCAGGAAGCTGCGCCTCGGGGAGAGCCTCCTGTTCTCCTTCAAGGCAGAGAAGCTCTTCATGATCAGGCTGAGGAACCCCTGGGGCAGAAAAGAATGGCACGGTGCTTGGAGCGACAGGTAAGAGCTGCAGAGCCAGTGTCAAAGGGGTGAAGCTGTGCTGGGCACTGCAATTCGTGGGTAAACACTGCTGGCACACACCCACACTCAGAGGTGGCTGGACCTCTGTGCATCTCTGCCCATTTTCCTCTGAGAAAATGAGCATGTCCTGGAGGAGTCTATGGCTCCCTGGACCTTATTTACTGCTTACATCCTTCTTCTGGCCCCTGGAACATGGGAAGAAAAATAGCTCATGAGTCAAGAGCATGAGGCTCGTGCCCAGCTTCACCACCGTGTCCGTGACTCAGTTTCTCTTCTGTCATTTCCAGCTGCTGGTGTTATTGGAAAGACCCCTAGGTTATTGTAAATGCAGGAGAACCCAATGGGAAGAAATGCTGATGTCTGACTCAATTCAGAAGGGTGAATGATTTCTTTATTATAACTATGCTAAAATACATTAATATACTATATAAAAGGAGGATACTAAAACTACACACTACTTTCTCTGACTCTAACTCTCACACAACTCGTGACCCTCTCTGAGAGCCCAGCCCCAGGTGGGTTGGATTGGCCATCAGGCTCAAACAATCCTCACCAGAATCCAACCAAGCACTCACCCCAGGTAAACAATTCTCCAAACACATTCCACATAGGAAAAACAAGGAGCAGAAATAGAAATTGTTTTCTCTTTCATTTTTCCTCTGTGCACCTCTATGAAAAATCCTGAGAGGGAGAGAAATGTGCTTGCCACACCCAGGTTACAATTACCAAGTTGTTGAAACAGTCTCCAGACTAGCCAGAGGCTTTTACTTCCAGTTGTTCAGTTTGTAATAAACAGGCTTACTTGTTTTTAATCAACCATCCTCCTTTTTTATTAAAGTTTTCTTTGTAAGCCTGTCCATAACACTGGGTATGGTAAAAGTCTTGTAGATAATTTAAGTGACTGGTGAAAAATCCTGTAAAAGTGCCAGATTTGTGATTTCTTTCTAATTAACTTTCTAATGAATTTTGTTCTGGGTCATGGGCTTAGCAGGTACCTCCACAGCAAGAGAAATGATTGCTGGAGGGGATGTCTTCCATCATGGGTGATTTATACATGAAAAATATGTGACAGCCCAGCACTGGGCTCACCAGCTAGCATTTAGTATTTAGCAATGCAGTGTCCTTATCATCAGCATATTAATTTCTTATAATCCATGCTTTAGCTAGCAAAAATCTACTACTTTCAGAGAGATTGGTCTGGGTGAAATGCAGAGAATGCACAAAAGAGCTGCTGTGGCGTGTTCCACTGAAGCCCTTGGGGTTCTCCAGCAGCCTGGGCCTGGCACAGCTAGCTGATGTGTGTGTGACTCACCAGCCCCAAGCAAGATCAGTCCTCAATAAATATCCATACCCTTCTGAGAAATTGCACCAAAATCATGAAACATGCAGTACACACTCCCAGGGCAATGAGATTTTTGTCTAGTAGTCACTGCCAACTACTAGATGCCAGCACTGAGGACTCATACAGTGGCCCATGGCTTTTGGTCTAGCAGAATTAAATTGACAATTTCCAAAAAGGTTAAGAAAATATCTGTTAGGGTGAGCAACCTCCCTTCCCTCCTTGCAGCCACCTTCAGCTGTAGCCTGCAGGTGCTTTTGGAGGGGCAGCTGTGGCTGTGTTTGGCTGGTGTGACCCAGCAGGAGCAGAACTGTTTGGGTTTCAGCAGGAGGCTGCTGGAATTTGGGGCAGGGGCTGTGTGCCTGAAGGCTCTGGGCACTGGAGATTCCTCTGCAAACTGGACACCGTGCTCAGGCTCCAGCAGCTTCTGCTCAAAGGCTGCCCAGGGAAATCTCAGACCTCAGGGCTGTTTTATTAAGGTGATTAAAAGACAAAGAGAATACTCTGGTCTAAGTGAAGCGTTCAATAATCTCCCGAGGAGGAAAAGCAGGTTTCATTTGAGGGGCCTTCAGGGAATGGAGTCAATCTCCTGTGACCTTGGAAACCAGCTGTTTAAGTGTTTAAGAGTCCTAATGGAGGGTGTGACAAAGGAAATCAATACAATTCTGCTCTAGCTTAGCCTATTTCCTATTAATCTCTTTCTTTTTAGTAGCTTTCAGATCAATTAATGTTTTAAAACTCCTCCTGAAAGCCTCACACTTTCATCAATATCATCTGCCCTCTCAGTACTCTGATGTTCTTTTTTAAACCATGGACCAGGAGAGATTTTTACTTTAATTTTTTTTTTTTCAGTGAGAGTTTTTATTTTAAGTTATTAATCACCTTTATTGTCTTGATTTTTTTTTTCTCTTTTTTTTTAATTATCTCCTTTTAGTTCTGAAGAGTGGAAGAAAGTCAGCGATTCTGAGCGCAAGAATTTGGGGCTCACTGTTAAGAACGATGGAGAGTTCTGGTGAGTGGGAGGGATGTGAAGGATTTGGAGACAATGGCTACACTGAGTAACTGTCATTAATCTGCCATTTAACAGCTTCAAAACCAGATGGATAAAATTATCCCAAGGTCTCTTTCTTACAAACTCCCAAAGGATGACAGGGAAGAATAATAAAAATGGATTTAAAACTAGTAGAACAAAATTAGTAGCTCTCAGAATCGATTGTTTATATTTAGGATAATATCTCAGAAACCAGGAGAGCACAGGCTGGTTTACATGACACAGTGCCCAATTAGACCAGTTAGACCAGTTAAATTTTGAAATGGGTAAAAATGTCTGGGGAAGTCCCATGTGCATTTCACACCCTGTTTACTGAGTACTGTGCCTGTCTGTAGGTCAGCCATGGCTGGGGCATCTAAAAACAGAGTTGCATCCAGTGAATTTTGATATTTGTTGGTGTTTTCCAGCATGGGAATGAGAAGTGTTCATTCTCTATACAATGTCTAGAGCTCTGTTAATTTTGACCTTGCTTAAAGCTTAGATCCTTAGCCCAGCAGGTCCTTCAGGAGATGATCAATATTGCATCAAGTGAGCTGGCAGGGCCCAGTGTGAAAATAATTCTGTTGGCTTTGTCAGGACTGGCAGCTGCAGGGTTTGGCTCTGGGCCATGAATAAGCCAGGCCATGATGGTAATTCAAAGAGCCAGGCTGTTTTTCTGTTGCTCTGCAGTCTAACCAGAGATGGGGGTAAATAAAAGCTCTGTCCGGAGTGCAGAGCTTTGAGTCATGCTCAGGGACAGATGTGACAATAAGGACTGTAATAATGAGGAGTGGATCCTGCTTTAATTGCAGGTGATCTCTTTGGCCTCTGTAAAATGTGTTATCAAATCCAGCCTGGGAGCTTCAAGCAGTCCTTTAGGCTTAGGAGATGCAACAGGACAGATCCTGATCTGACCAAACACACTGAGTGATGCTGCTCTGAATTAAGCTCTAAAACTCTGTGATTGTGGCCTCACAAGTATTTCCACATGGAAAGCTCTCCAGTGAATCAGTTTGTCCCCTGGACAGCTGAGCAACGCTTCCTCTTCAAATTACTGCAATATTTTGGGTTTTGTTTTGGCTCTTTGCGTGAATATCGCTGTTTATTTTTAAACAAACCATTACTTCCCTGATGTTCTGTGGAGCAGGATGACGTTTGAGGACTGGTGTAAGAATTTCACAGATGTGGACATCTGCAGGACTGTGAACACCTCCTGCTTCAGCCTCCACAAGACCTGGGAGAAGGAAATGATGTATGGGGCTTGGGCAAAGCATCCAGAACCCCTGCTGAACCGATCTGGGGGCTGCTTTGATAACAGAGAGACCTTCCTGCAGAACCCCCAGGTGGGAACCCCTGTCTTTTGTGAGTATTTGATATAACAGACCTTCCTGCAGAACCCCCAGGTGGGAACCCCTGTGTTTTGTGAGTATTTGATAACAGAGACCTTCCTGCAGAACCCCCAGGTGGGAAGTTTTGTGAGGTATGGAAGTGCACCCACTTTAGCTGGGGCTCCTGAAATACCCACCCTGTTCAGGAGTCGGCAGTTTCTACTAGACAAAAATCTCATTGCTCTGGGAGTGTGCTGTGTACTGCATGTTTCATGATTTTGGTGCAATTTCTCAGAATTGTATGGATATTTATTTAGGACTGATCATGCCTGGGGCTGGTGATTCACACACACAACAGAATTACTGACATCCTGCCTGGACTTCTTTCATTTTCCCAGTCATAGAAAGGCAGCAAGTCTGATTTTCTAAATACAGAGCTCACTTAACCCCCTTAAACAACTTGGGGATTTGATCCACTGTATTAAGTTAGTATCCCTTGGCATTAATGTAAAATTCTGGAACTACTTGATCTCTTTCCCAAGCTCACCCTCTCATCAGCATTACAGAATTTCCCTTGTCCCATCCTACCTGGTCATTTCAAGCCATTCAGTTTATCTGTTCATCCATTCCTACTCCCTTTCCCACCTTCCTGCCCTTCACTCTCCCAGCACATGCAATATCAGACACAGACTTCTGTTACTGCCTGTGGGCTCTGGGCACTTACTCTGTGAGTTACTACTCTGAAAATTGATCTTTCTGTCCAGATTAATTAAGGATATTTTTGGATCTGCTTCTCTGCACTTGCAAGGGAGGTTTCTGCCTGCAGCCTGTGTTTGCAGAGCAGGATGGAGCACTGGGGCAGTGCAGCCTCTGCTGCTCACATCAGATCTCGGATTCCCAGCTCATCCTGCAGTTCTTCACTGCTCTGCCTTCTGGCAGTGCCTCATTTCCAGGGGGTGATGTAATTCAGGTATTGCCCTGTGAGATTCTGGCTGTGTTCCCAGAGCTTGTCTGGTCTCATTTGTAAGTGTTTAGCTGTCACAGAGAACAAAATGCACAGGTTCCAGCTGAGTGCAATGCCTGATGCAGTGGAAGGCCTCTGTATTCCAGTGTTACCTCTGGGCCAGTTGATTAAAAGGCTCTTAGCAGCAGTGCTGGAACACAATTGTGTTATTTTAGGGCTGTTACAGGTTACTGTGGCACACCCCACCATAATCTAGAGGTAATCTCTCTGTTCTGGCACTGAGGCCTCCTGTGAGGTTTATCTGTGCAGAGAGGGATTGTGACACTTCCAGCTCCTTTGATAAGGCAGATTCAGCCAAGTATTTGTGTTTCTACAGTCACCTGCTGCCTCTAGATCATAGCCCATTGAGACAGCCGAAATGCCATCAGAAGGAGGTCCCACTGCAGAGCTGTCACCAGCCCAGGAGAACTTTCCTGTTCCACTTGTTGCCCTTCCACCCCTCCATGGCCCTGGAGCACCCTGGGCTGCCTGAGGGGGTGACCTGTGTATGGTTCAACAGGGGCAGGAATTAAAATGTGCCTTACTGGGTGTTGCTACAGCTTCATATCTCACTTTTTAGGTTCCCTTACAACCCCTGGGACTCTCCCAGGGCCCTGTGCTTTCTCTGCTGCAGTAAGTGATAGAAAACACAAATCAGAGCTTGGGATGGGGCCTTGCTCAGCAGAGCTCCAAGGCAGAGGGATGTGGATGGTTCTGTAGCCAAGGCAATCTCAATATCCACCTCAGAGTAAAGCTCAATAATTTGTTTTTTAGCAGCAGTTGAAGGAAAATGGAGGAGGGAATTGAATTGAGCCAGTGATGATATTCCTCTCCATGCTGCCAGGGAATTTCTGCTTAAATCAGAACATGTGGTGCACGTGGTACCCAGCTGTGCACTGCTGCAGGTTTATGTTTCTGTTTATTTTCTTCAAATTTAAATGTCTTTGAGGATGGGGGAGTACAGCATCTATCCAAACTTGGAGTAGATAATAGTCCTCTTCCCTCCTCTGGTCCTGACAACTCAGGTTTGCCCTCTGCATGCACAATGAAAAATTTAAAGGATTCCCTAATAATGAACAAAATAATTAAATTCCTAGTCATATAAAGAAACACCCATCTGACCTTCTTTTGTTCATACTTCTGAATTGGTCTGGTAGTGATTTTTAGTGATGTAACTGTTCAAGTCAGATTTAGTAAGATGGGAACTGCTGCTTAAACTTGAGATAAATTCCTTTGATTTGTCTTACACCCAAGTTGACTCAAGTTTACTGTAAAGAGTTTTGATAAAATATTGGTATGTTAGAGGTGCAGGAGTCTTTCTAAATTGTTTTTACTGTGTATTCGGGAAAACTGAGAAGTCCAAAATTAGCATTCCTGTCATTCTCACATTAAATAGGAACTGTAGATGCAAAACAAAGTGCCTTTTAAGTAAGATTTCAAAGATTCTTTCATTTGCAGACCCTATATAAAGATGTTTGAAATTTACAGGCACTGTTTAGTTAAAAGAAGAATAAAAAATTATCTAAGACCCCATGTGGAGTCTGTTGGTTTGTTTTTTTAATCTCATTCCTGATTTATAGCTAAATAAAACTTAATCTTTTGCCTTTTGCTTTCAAGTGAGGTGTCCTCTTGCTGATTCCAGTTATTTTGTAGCTTTGTCCCAGGCTGTCTTTTATGTGAGTTCATAGACTCAGAGAGTCATGGAATGGTTTGGGTTGGCAGGACCTTAAAGCCCATCCCATCCCATCCCATCCCATCCCATCCCATCCCATCCCATCCCATCCCATCCCATCCCATCCCATCCCATCCCATCCCATCCCATCCCATCCCATCCCATCCCATCCCATCCCATCCCATCCCATCCCATCCCATCCCATCCCATCCCATCCCATCCCATCCCATCCCATCCCATCCCATCCCATCCCATCCCATCCCATCCCATCATGTCCTGTCACTAAGATTGCCATTTTCATCAATACCTTTTATTTACCTGACACTTTTGATTTTAAGATCCTTTTTATTAGCATTCATTTTCCCTCTGTGAATTGCTGGGAATATCTGTTCCATGGAGAACTCTCCTTCCTCCCTCAAATGTATTCCCATTTTCCTCCTTCGTATGCACATATGTCTTGGTTTGAACAGACAGGTGTCTGCTAAGGAAGGCAGGAGCCTCCCCTGAAATGGAAAATATAAAGCCCCTCCTCTGAGTTATTATAATTTTGAAATAAAGGGGTTCTTAGACAAAGATGTGGGAGCAGGAATAACAGTTCATTATTAGGAAAAATAAAAATAAAAATGCAATAGTACCAAACACCACTGCCAGAGTCAGAGCAGCCCTGGCAGCCTGTGTGTCAGGGAGGTGGCAGCAGCCCCATCCCAGGGTGGCTCAGCCCTCCTGCAGTGCCAGCTGTGCTTCTGCTGGAGCAGGATCCTGCACAAGGGGGGAGTTTCCTCTGGAGCTCCAGTGGTGGTTATGGAGATCTTGTCTTTTGGGAATGCAGTGGATAAGGCTCTTGTGGTGTTCCAAAAGTCAGATTGTATCCAGGTAGGAATGCTCGGCTCCTCCCATGGGCAGAGCATCTCCCCATGGGATGATGGAATTTTCTCAGCCATGCAGGGACACTCACTGGCCATGAACAAGAGATAATTAATAATCAATAATTAATGGCCATGAACAGAAGAGATCTCCTGGAGGAAGGATTGGTTGTGGGAGAGCTAAAGAAAAGTGCCCAAAGAACAGCAGAGAGCTGCCCCAGCTCTGACAGATGGGAATAGAACACACACAGCCCCATTTCCAACCTAAGACAACATATTTCCTTGGTGATGGCTTTACCCTCAGCCTCCTGAGGTAATTCCAACAGCTCTTCTCTCCCCTCTCTCCTCCAGTACCTCTTTGATGTTAAGAAGGCCCAGGACAAAGTGTTGGTGTCATTGCAGCAAGAGGATCGCCGCAGGTACAAGAAGGAAGGGAAAGGAGACAACATCACAATTGGCTTTGAAATCCTCAAGGTAGGCAGCCAGCTGTGCTCCTGGTGCAAGTCTGTTCAGTTTGCTCAGTCCTGCTTCACCCTGACAGTGAGATCTTTGGCAGATAGAGATCTGTCTCTAGATAGATAAATCTAGATAATCAGTTTATCTGCTCATCCGTTCCTACTCCCTTTCCCACCTTTCTCCCCTTCTCTCTCCCAGCACTTGCAAATTCAGGCATAAACTTCTGTTACTGCCTGTGGGCTCTGGGCATTTACTCTGGAAACTGGATCTTTCAGATAATATACCAGGATTATCCTGGGGTCTGGCTCTGTGCTCAGACTTTGTGTGGGCACTGCACTCAGGCTGTGGGAACTCAACTGAATTTAGTTCAGCTCAAACACTGTTTGAATACATTTAATTTATTTGAAATAAATAAATTTCACCCCTTGAAAAATAATTTTAAGTGCTTTTCATATCCCCAAACTTTCTAGAGAAAGGCAAAATTATATTAATACTTAAAACATGGAGGTTTTTTTCCTCCTTCTTCTGCCTCCGTTTCATCAGCAAATACAGCCAGGAGAATGAGGTTGAAAAGTCTGCAGTTTTTCTGGTGCCACTTAGAACAACAGTGTTGTCAAAAGCTGGACTGGTGAGCAGGAAATGAATATATGGGAAAAGGAACCACAGGGATCCCAAAAGGTAATTTAATTGCACTCTCAAGGCAAATTGAGTCAAATAAAAACACTCAAGCTCAGAGGAGGAGGGAAGCAAAGAAACAGCAATTTTTCCGCTCTTTCACTGAGGACTGGGGTAATCCTGTCACCTGTTGCTACAGCTCCTGGGACTACATGAAATCTATGGCTCTACTCTAAAATAAAAAGTCAATTTTTCACAGTTGGTTAGATCTGCTGACATCTGCATCACACCTACTCATTTGCCAATCACCTTTTAACCACATATATTGAAAACTGTTGTTGCAGAAAGCAGAATAATTTCCCTTGTTCATGCCTGTAATTTGGAAAGGCTTGAAAAAGAAAATCACACCTTCAATGAAAAGCTTCAGTGCTCTATTTTTATTTCTGATCAATAATTTTTCTATTTTAGATATATTCTAACACACCAGGCTCATTAGCATGACTAAAGGCCCTGGGAAGAGAGCTGCCTTTGCCCCAGGAGCTGCTTGAGAGAAAGGTTCAGATCTAAACTGTGCTCTGGCGATGCCAATGCCCTGGAGAGGATGTTTAAGAGTTAAGCACAACTTCAGGGCTTAGAACAAAACATGCATGGTTATTCTGTGGCTTTTGTATTCAGGAAAGGGCAAGGAAAATCCAGCTGTGTGCATCTGGATTGGGAGCCTGCTGTGAAAGGCTAGAGAAGGGAGGCAGAGGGATCTTGTCATAGTTGAGATGTCACAATACAAAGCAACAAACTGTTTTTCTGATAGCATGGATGCTTTTTATACATTCTTACAAAACTCATCAGTTTACACTTCACTCATTGGTCACGAGAGACAAAGTGTTTATTGGAATAGGCAGTTGCAGGTTTCTCTTCTTTCTTTATTGGTTTCTATGTCAACAACCTTGGTAGGAAATTCTTTCAGGGGTAAACATGGATCCTTTTATCAAACTTCTCTCTGGCTCACAGAGGTCACTGTGAAACCTCTCCCACAGGATCTCAGCCTTGTCTGAGCAGGTGCAGTCCTTGAGGTGTGTGTCCATCTCTGGAAGTGTTCCGAGCTCTGCAGTAGCATCACATCATCTCTTTCAGTGGGTTCCTGTCTTTTCCAGCCCCAAACTTTTACCTGCCACAGCTTAAATGGACAAGAAAACACTTGCCTAATGATTTGCCTTTCTTGCACATTGTGTGAAAAGCTGTGTGGGGCTCAGGGAGAGCCCTGCCCGCTTGCCCTGCTGTCTCTCCTGCTGCAGGTGGAGGACAACAGAAGGTACAGGCTGCACAAGCTCACGGTGCAGGAGAGAGTGGCCACGTCCCCCTACTCCAACACACGCAGCGTGTTCCTGATGAGGAGCCTCCAGCAAGGCCGCTACGTCCTCGTCCCAACCACCTTCATCCCGGGTGTCCCCACAAAATTTATCCTCAGGCTCTACACAGATGTGCCCTCAAAACTCAGGTGAGTGGCACTCAGCTGCAGGCGACCCTCCTTAGCCCACAGGCTGCAGCTCCAGGGAAGGTGTTGCAGGGTTGTTCTCCAACTCACTGGCTCATGTGGCTCCAGAGCTGGGCCCTGGAGACATCAGGAGCACCTCTGAGAATCTCCAGGTTTGTGCATGGTCAGGAAATGTTTAGTAAGGGACGTCTTGGATGATTCACTTTGAGACTTTTGGCTTTTTCAGTTCAGTTCTTGTAGTGGCCCCCAGTTCTGGGTCAGGACACTGAGCACTGGTGCTTGTGGCTACAGATGGGACTTGTTTCTGTGACCATCTCCTCTGAAAGCAGTGGTTGCTGCAAGAGTAGAACCAGTGCTTCATGAATCAGGCCCACTGCATTTATTTCTTGCTTTGACAGTATTTTCCACTATTTAAAATTGGTGTTATTTTCACCACTTTTGCTTCCACGCAAAAGATACCACAATTTTGTTTTACTTTTCTTTGCTCTATTTTTATCTCTTACATCTGTCATTTCTGCACCACAGAATTCCAACACTGCAGATGAGGGAAAAACTACAAATCTCATGTTCTAAAAATGGCAGATTTCCACAACCATTGATTGTTTGCTTGACATTCTTTGCTTAGGTTGCTTTTCCCATGATTTTTCAGGGAGCTGAAGGCAGATAGGCCTAAAATGACATGTTGGAGTCTCCTTTGTGGCTACCCACGCAGAGTCACCCAAATCAAAGTCCACTCTGCAGAGGGTTTGCAGAAACAAGGCAGATCAGGAGGTAAGTGGAAAGAGAGTCTGGGGGGTGGAATTGGCTTTTCAGTCCTCTAAAGATTATTTGGGTTGATATGTAAGCAATCAGAAATTATCCAAACAGAGGATTTATGGGATTTGTTTTTCCATCTTGCTGTAAAACCTGCTCTAGTGGAGAGATCAGATGAATATGGGGATGCACAACAGCAAGTTATGGGCAGGTCCATAACTGGGCAGGATGGGCAGGAGTAGCCAGACCCTCCTGAGGAGCTAATTGTGGAGATTAGTAAGGTTCTTCTGTCAGGGTTGTGCATTTTCTAAATGGAAAATATCCAGGAGGCAGCTGAATGGGACAGACTCATGTAGTGTGTTACATTGACCTCATTAGAGCACTTCAGGGAGGGCTTCATGGTTTTCAAACAATCATTTTCATCTGGGTAAAGTAGAACAGGGGTTAAATGCTTTGTACATGACTGTGTGTCTGTCAGAGGAAGTGTCCTGAAGGACACCAAAATGGCTTTATGGCATCTGATGTTGAGCTAATTAGGAAACTTGACCAGTTGTCATTTGCTTTTTCATTTTCTACTCCTGCTCTCTCATAGTCTTCATTTTCCACAGCTCAATGCTGGTTATTATCAGAGCCCTGTTTCTGGCCAGAGGAAATTTATTTAATTTTTATTTTAAATGTCTATTGGAAAGCTCCTCCTTGGTGCTGTCTTTGATCCATTGCTCTGTCTGGACAAAATAATGGTTGGCTGTTGTTAGGAGTAGTGGATGAATGTAACGGCCCAGACTCTCCTGGATGCTCCTTGTGGAAGTACCTCTCTCCAAGCTAGTGTGCTCTGAAATGTCTGTGAGACAAGCACAGTGGCCTGCAGAATGATGAAGAAACTCCTTGTGCTAGAGGATTTTCTGTCACTCATTCCCAAGCCTGCTTTGAAAATGGCTCTCACTGCTGTCTGTCAGGCCTTTTCCCCGAGTTTCTCTTAGAGAACAAATCACCTTTTGCACCTTTAAGTCTTCCTGCTGACATTCCCTGTTGGGTTTGCACACTGAATTGTTTTTCACCACTTAGACTATAAAGTGAGTGTTGAGATCTGTGGTGTGTAATGGCCCTGGAAGCAGAGACCCTTTAGTGGCAGCTGCCTTGGGAGCAGCCTGAGAAAGCAGAAGGAAGGAGAAGCAGAGATTCACCTGCAAGAGGCAAAGCAAGCTGCTGTGGCTGCCAGGGCAGTGCTTGTGTCCCAGCACTGTGCCTGCTGATTGTGCCATGCCCTTTTCCAGTGGCTGAGGCTGGCAGAGCTCTCCAGCATCTGGGAAGGGCAGTAGAGAGGAGTGGGAACGCAGCTGGCAACATTCCCTCAGGAAAGTTCTCCAGAAAGCCTTTTGCTTCGGTGCAGTGCTGCAGGATGTGGGTGTTAGATCCTCAGAGCAGTTCTCAAAAACCCAAAAATTAAGCCTTAGACTACTGAGCACAGATTTCTTTAAGCCTTAGAAATGCCATTACTGCTCAGGTGTTTCTGGCTTTTACATATTCCAACTTTTTCCTTTGCACTGTTCTTTTGTACAACTTCCCAAAGCACAGCATGGCCAGGACTGAGGGCAGAGAGCTGTTATGGGGTTCAGGGCAGAGCTGGAGCCCTCTGTGTGCCCCAGAGCTGAACCCAGCCCTCCTTCCACTGCCAGAGCTGCAGTTTCATTCCCAGCCCATGGCCAATACCAGGACATTGCTTTTCCGCTCTAGCAGACCTTGGTGTTTTTTCTTTGTCCTGTAAATAAACCAGGCACAGAACTGGGCCATCCATAGCTGAGAACATCTGATCCCCAGTGTGGTCTCCCACTGCTTGCTTTTGTTGTGGAATTGGAGCCAGTTTTCCTGAAACAACTGACCCATCCAGCACTGCCTTCATGGGGTCAGAACATTTTGGAGCATCATGAGTACAGGAACACTTTGTGTCCCCCTTCTACCTCCCTCTGTGAGGTCTTGCTGAGAATTTGAATGTTTCCTTCAAATATTTTCTTTCCTTTTCCCTTCACTTAGCCAGCACTCTCATTAACTGCTCCCTCATCCATCCAGCAGATGTGGCTGTCACCTCTTTAGCTCTGTGCCCTTTCCCCACCCCTCCCTATGCTCTTTATCTCTTAATTACTGTTAATGATGGGGTGTTGCTCTGCTCTTTGCAGAGTTGTTAACACCACTGGGGTGACGGGCAAGACCCCATTTGATCCATATCCAAATTGCTTTGCAAAGAGGGCAGCTTTTCCAGCCCTGGTGGCACAGCCTGGTGCCACCCCCTTCCCCAGAGCTGAATTCACCGTTCAGTGACACGGAAGGCAATTGCCCAGCAGAAAAGCCAATATCCTGCTGCTTGCCATGGAGCTGTGAGGTGTTGTCAGGGAAACAGCTCTGGCCAGGTGTAACCACAGAGCAACACATGGAAAAATCTGTGTCTGCCTCCTACCTGGAAGTGGCTGTGTCTGCCTTGGATGCGGCTGTTGTGTGGTTTGTCCGTGTGAGGTGTTGTTCCTGATCTTGTAAATGAGTGATGTCTTTGAGGAAAATCATCTGTGTATGGTTTGTTAAAAAGATAAAGTTGCCTAAAATTGTGCTGCCTTCTGGCTGTGGTGGTATTTTCAAGTAGATGGTGAAAAAAGTGTGTTAGAAATGCTCAGGAGCCTGACTTACAGATACCCTGGGTTTATTTAAAATCTGTACCTAAGAAGTAGCAAGGTGTGGGGGGAAAAAAGTTATTCTGTCATTAATAACAGAAATGGACAGAGTTGTGTTGAAATACAAAACACGGTATTGCCTTTGTATAATTAAAAGTTAATTCGAAAATTGAATGACCCATTATCTTTGAATGTGTTTGGTGCTCCTTATTGTAAAGGAAAGATAATATCAACCTTAATAAGAAATAAAAATGCTCAGTGTAAAAACAAAGCATTTCTAGAATGTTGAACAATTGCAGGGGGTCACATGTGAATGTTAGATTGAATATTAGGGAAAAATTGATGCCTGGGAGGGTGGGCAAGCCCTGACCTGGGGTGCCCAGAACAACTGTGGCTGCCCCTGGATCCCTGGCAGTGCCCAAGGCCAGGCTGGACAGAGCTTGGAGAAACCTGGGACAGTGGAAGGTGTCCCTGCCATGGCAGGGGGTGGGATGGGATGGGCTTTAAGGTCCCTGCCAACCCAAACCACTCCACGGTTCTGTGTTTGCACCTGGACAGGAGCAGTGCCCTGGTGCCCTGTCCTGTGGTGCTGCCAGGCACAGGAGGGGATTGTCTCTGCTGGGTTTCTGGGCAGCTCTCAGCTGCCATTCTATGTGCCCAGAGCTGTGCTGCTGATTGTGTTCCAGGAGCAGATCCCTATGTGCTCATCAAGTGTGAGAACCAAAGTTGGCGCTCCCCGGTGCAGCGCGACACCACCAGCCCCATCTTCAACACCCAGGTGATCTTCTACAGCAAGGACATCGACAGTCCTGTCACCATCCAGGTGAGACAGCCCCAGGGCAGCTGCTCAGGGCAGGGAGGGCAGCACAGCAGCAGCCCTGGCCTTCGCTGGGCCAACTGTTCCTTTGTGTGACTGATATCCAGGAGAGAAGAGGGAGAACCTCTGCTCCCCTTGCTGGGCTCTGCCTGCAGCTCTGCTGCTGCTTCTCCTCCACAAACACCAGCTGATGGCACTCTGGGATCACAAGGCATATTTCATTCCAAGGAATGTTTCATTTGATGGAATTTACAGAATTTCTTTTGCCCCATGAAAGAATGAAGCAGAGACAAAGAAAAGCCAAGTGTTGTCCAGAGTCAGTTTTTGAAACAAAACCAAAGCTAAGGCTGTTATTAAGAAGTTTTCTAACTCGAATTCTAGTCCTGTGGGAACTAGACCTCACTGTTTACCTCGGTGCTAGCTGGAGAAATAGAACTTGGCATTGAGACAATGCAGTCGAGGAAAACTTTGTCTTCAGTGTAGTCTGTGGGCCAGGCTCTAAAACTCTAGCACTGAGGAGGTGCAGAGGTGGGCAGAGGCAGGAAGAACAGCAGACAGGCTACTGTAGGTAGGTTTTACTGCTGATGAGCTAAAAAAGGCCATTTTTATTCCTCTTCTAGGCAGGCTATGACCTAGAAAGCGAAAAGCTGCATTTCTTTCCTTATTTGCATAGTCTATGTAAATGAACATGCAAATCCAGAGTCTCCCTCATGCTCTCTAGACAATTAGCTAAATTTAGACGCACACGAGTCTGCGACAGCACTCTCGTGTCCTCCGTTCGGCAGGTGTGGAGCAGCCGCCTCCTGCGTGACCGGTTCCTGGGGCAGGCGGAGCTGGCAGCATCCCCCGGGCAGCCCCGGCAGCGGCGGCGGCTGCGGCTGCGGGGCAGCACCGGCGGGGCAGCGGCAGAGCTGCCGCCTCACATCAGCCTCACGGTTCTCTGCAGCGACGACCTCGCCGAGCTCTGAGCGCCGCGGAGCCAGGCGGAGCTGTCACCTCTCGGCAGCACAGGGTGCACATCGGCATAATCGCTTTAAAGGGGGGAAAACCCTCCGACTCTCCGCCTGAGCGCTGGTAATGGGCGGAGAGGCGTTGGGAGAGGGGGAAATGCGTGTTTATACATATCTATGCTCGTGATCCGGCTCATGGAGAAATGGAATGATGGAAGGGAACGTCTTCCCAGCAGCATCGTTGAGGATGCAGGCAGGAATGGCATTTGGGGACTGGCAAATACAAAGGGGATTCGTGGGGATTTTTTCCCCATATCCTTCCCTTAGAAGGATATAAATTTCTTAATGAATTTCACTACAGATTAGGTGTTTCTGTTCCTTGGTGAAAATGTCACTACTCGAGGAGCTCAGTCATAGCTCGTGGCCTTAAGACCAGTCTTGCCAGGACAACATTAAAATAGAGGGGCAGATCTTGCAGTGCCTGTTTGAACACCACAGCAAATAAGAGCTTTGTCCACCCAAAGGCTCTTAGATTGACTTTCTGATTGTTCTCTTCTCCACCTCGAGCTGGTGACTCTCAGTTTGGTGTATCTGTCCAAGCTGAATCACAGTTCAGCTGTGGCTTTGCTCAGAGCACAGATTCCGTAATGGAAACCTCCTTGCTTTGTTTAAGCCACATAATGCTAAAAATGGGATAATGGCCCTCTTGTTTTGGTAGATGTAGCACCAGCCTGAAGGAGGAGAAAATGAGCTGATGAGAAGGGTGGGTTTGTAAAACCAGGGCGCTGCTCCCTGGCAGTTGTCAGGTCTCGCTCTCAAAATTTTGCCACAATTTATTGCTGGCACGGCTGATGTTTGATGGAGTTTCACTTGGGTACCACGGAGGATGGGTTATTTCACATTTCCCTCACAGTAGGGGTCTGGTGCCAGCTCTTCCCTTCCCCTGCAGCCTCGGCAGGGTTCCCTCAGCAGCTGTCTGGGGTGGGCACGCTGGGCAGTGACCCTGGCAGTGCACAGGGCTCTGTGCCAGCCGCTTGGAAATGGATTTTACACAGCTGCAGATTCTGGGTGGGAAAGTGAAGCTGAAGAACCGTTCTGCCTTTTTTCACAGCCAGGAAATTTGGATTCTATGTGCCTCATAGCCACTTCAGCCACGCTGTGCCATTTCTGCAATTTATCAAATGGCCCTTGACAGAGCTAATGTTTCCCCAAAAGGTTTTGAAGTCTCCTCAGGGCTCCAAAAGGATCATTGCTGTGGTAGGAAAATGCTTTCTCTGACATGCCAGAGAAGGTCTGTGGGGCTGCGAATGATGCTGCAGTGCCATCAGCTTGCCATGTATGTACCAAGAACCTAAATCAGCTCGTTCAGACAGTTTGGGCTCAGACCTCTGGCACAGCAGAAATCTTGTCAGAGGTGTGAACTACAGGCCCCACAGGCAAATGACATTCTCTGTAAACTCATGGCTTCAGAGCTGCTTACTCTCACAAATGTTTGTAAACTGAGATTTCTCTTTTTAAAAGCATAAACTCATGCAGACCAGAGCTGGGACGAGGGGAACTGCAAATGTCAGGGCTGCCCTAGTCCTGCACCGAGAGCTGTTTGCTTCCCGCAGTGTTCCCGTGGGATGGGGGCCATTCCCGGGGCTTGGCTTGGCCAAGGGTCAGTGTTTAGCCTGAAAAAAGATCCACACCGAGACGGCACCAGAGGTTTGTGCCTCCCTGCCCCATGATTTGGCTGAGGAAGCTCCTGAGGTCCTGAACTCTGGTGGCTGAGGAAGCTCCTGAGCCCACTGAGGGCACAAAGCCACCTCAGCCCCGAGCTGGAGGGGCGTCCCTTGGCTCTTTCCCTGCAGCCACACAGCCCTGGTCCCCAATCCCAGCACCACCACCCTGTTCCAGCCTCTGTACTGGGCTGTCCCCAGCATCAGTGGGACACAGGGAGTGTGACCAGCAGTTCTTGGGCACCTACAGCCTGGAAAAGTGGGAAGTCAGTGGGGTGGGGAGCACAGACATGTGACTTTAGGCCTTGAGCATTGTGCCAGCTCCAGACAATCCCCCAGTTTGTCCCCATGGCATGGGGACAGGCACTGCTGGCCAGTGCTGCCCTGAGGGACTCAGTGCTGGGAGGCTCAGCAGGATGTCTGGACCTCTGCATTGATTATTTTGGTGAACCATTTGGTTTTCCCATCAGGAGGAGCTGATCCAGCCTGGGCACGCAGCTGGTTCTGCTGGCTTACAGATCCTTCTGCCTTCCCAGGTGAAGCCAGGCAAGGGCAGGCTGACAGGGGCTTGTGCTGCTGTCTGCTCCTAACATTGGTAGTTAAATTTGTTAATTTTTTAACAATATCGACATGTGGGAAAACATCTTAGGGTTGGTTTTTTGGGAGGGGAGAAAGGCTGCATTTTGTACACACTCGAGCCACCTCAGAAACGAAAACAGGTGGAAACGGGTGTAAAATGTTTCATTGCAACTTTTTGTAACTTTTCAATACAAAGTGAGCTAAATAAAATTTTACCAAAAAAAATTAAATTTTATCGCTTTCTGCGCCGGCGGCGGCCGCGAGAGGGCGCTCGGTGCCCGCCCGCACAGGTGTGAGCGCGGCCAGGTGTATATACACACACCCCATATATATATGTGTGTACAGATATATTTTATATATATATAAGGAGCATTATGTATATTTTTTATACATATATAACATATACAGATATATTTTATATATATAAGGAGGTAATGATTAATATAATATAATATAATATAATATAATATAATATAATATAATATAATATAATATAATATAATATAATATAATATAATATAATATAATATAATATAATATAATATAATATAATATAATTAATATAATATACATACATTTTCTATATATAAGGAGCTACAGTGCAGGGGAGTTATTAGGGGGTGTGAATAAGGGACAATATAAGGTACAAGGTAAATGTATGTCCACAGCTCTATAACACACTATCTATAAATATCATTATATAAAAAATTATATATAGTACTATAATAAGAAGAATATATATTCTATAAATATTTATACATATAATAATTATCCAGTATATCATGTGTCTATGTACATTTGCACAGCCCCCATTTAGCAATCTATGTTATATACATACCTTTCTCTGTAATCTCTATATATTATATATCTTTTGTGTCCACATGTTCTGCCAGGTGGAGGGAGGACAGGGGATTCTCCAAACACTCCACAGTCCCAGCTGACTGTGTGTATCCAACAGGATGTTTTGGCTGCCCCGTTCTTCACCTGTTTTTGTCTGGAAATGCAATTGCACTTTTTTCCTCATCCAGAAGTGCCACAAGTGGGTAAAACCAAGCCCATGGGCATTCCAGAGGCAGAGTGGTCTGGAGCTGATGAACGAAGGAGACCCTTCCCTATTTCCAAACCATACCAAAACCCCCTAATTGCGACTTTCCATCTTTAAGAAGCAACCAATAATTCAGAAGTGAATGTAACCATTGGGTGAGAAGGGAGCAAATCTCCCAAAGGAGTGAAAATTTTATTCCTTCTTTTCCTCTAGGCTGGCACTGCTGGCATGAAGTGCTTCCATGGCCTGACAGATTTTCCTGGCTATACAGATCATGTCAGGCAGGACAGAGAGACTCACGGCTGTTTGTAAAAATGGATGCTGCCCAAAGGGAAAAAAAAGAAAGGAACTGTTACTTTCCAAACCCAGTTTATCACAAGAGGAAGCATGATTCCTCTGCTTACCAGAAATACACATAAATAGGACTGAGGGGACCATCTCCACCTCAGTCTTAATATTCAGGACCTTGCTGTCAGAGGCAAACGTGGCCCAGTAATCCCATTAATCAATTTATCAAGGTGTCTTCAGCTTGCTGGGATTTTGGCCCTGCCAGCACTCTGGGAATGCTACTTGCTGCCTCAGGGCTTTTTTCATTTCAGGAAACTCAAAGGACTCACTTAGGTTCCTTTTTTCTAAAGGTAGGGGCTGCTTTAGTTATCAGAAAAGATGAGTGCAAGCTGTTCCACAGGGAACTCCAGCACCTCCAAGAAATGTTGTTCCCATTAGGATTTAGGCCTGTGCTGTTCTGAAGAACACTGAGGTGCAGGTTTTCAGCACCAAGACAAGAACAGCCAAATCTCCCAGGCTGCTAGGCTGGGACTGGGTTCCTTTTCCACCAACACCATTTTGGGCCTCTGTACCTGACACCATTCTTGCCACCAGCTAAAACTGAATGCACTCCCAAAATACAGCACAGACAGGGTCAGAGGGTAGATGGAACACCTTTCCTCCGAGGAAAGGCCAAGAGAACTGGGATTGTTCAGCCTGGAGAAAATAAGGCCCCAGGGAGACCTTACTGCAGCCTTTCAAACTTCAGGGGAACCATTTTTAGTAGGGCCTGTTGTAAAGGGACAAAGGATAACGGTTTTAAATGCAAACAGGAGAGATTCAGGCCTAAGGAAGAAATTGTTTATGCTAGAGGTGGTGAAACACTGGCACAGGTTGCCCAGAGGGGTGTTGGATGCCCCATCCCTGAAAACATCCAAAGTCAGGTCAGACAGAGCTCTTCCAAGCCAGATTCTTCTATGATTCTACTTTGCAAAGCAGGCAGAGAGTGGGTGTACAGCTGCTGGGCCTGTACCTGCAGCAGCTCCCTGGCTGTCCAGCGCGTGCTGGGGTCGCTGTCCAGGCAGGAGTGCAGGAAGGCGTGGAACAGATATGACATCTTGCTGGACATCTTCAGAGGGGGGTGCCTGTTCCGGGCGATCAGGCGCTGAGCCTGGGGACAGAGGGACAGCCACTGACCATCCCTGGGGTGACAGCTCTACCACAGGCCCCTCCTGGCTTTCTGAGAGCTCCTGGTGCTTCTCAAGGGGCTCAAGGGTGTTGCCCTGATTTTTAAAAAGTGTTTTCTTTTATAGTTCTTTTGAAAGTTTTAAAGTTCTTTTAAAAGTTTTCTATGCCTTCTGATGTTTACATAATTTTACTGGAGTTCTCACGCACTGTTCATGTAAATAATGATTGTTTTACATTCTTCTTTGTGGGAGGAGAGGATTGATGGACTGTTGGTTTGACCAGTGGGGTTGGAGAAGTAGTAATCTCATCCTCCAATCCACGGTCACTTTTGGAATCCTATATATTGTGAAGTCAGAAATAAAATTGGCTCTTTTTCTCTTTTGAACTTACCAAACTTCTGTATACTCGTATCATGTCCAATAGCAGAACAGGGCTTCTCAACATTTGAGGGTAAGGAAGCAGGGAACTGTCACTTCAGAGCAGTGGTGATAATGACCCTGGGTGTAGCTCAGCTGGTCAGAGCATGGCTCTGGTCACATCCATCCCTAGATGGGCCATTCACTCAGGAGCTGGACTTGGTGATCCCTCCCAACTCAGAGTATTTCGGGATCTGGAAATAATTCTCTTCATCTGTGTTTGCTGCCTTATACAAGGCAAAAGCAATCCAAAAGTGGTATTCCAAGAAAAGCCAGGGAGCTTTTCCAAAGAGAGTGGAAGACTGAAATCTCCAGAAATGTTGTTTTCCTCAGGAAGTAACTGTGCAGCATTTAACCTGGTTTCAGCTAATCGTCATGAGATGTTATCCTCCTATACATTCCTCCACTATTCCTTCGTTGTTTGGTATGAGAACTCATCATTTAATTTTAAAGAATTAGGATCTAAAACTGAAAACTTCAAAATATGTTTAATACAAGTAGCTTTGCTAAAATATACTTTTAGAAATTTTTGTGGTAATACATAATTATGGCATCACTAGAACCAGTGACCCTCCCTGAAAGGTACTGGTCAGAATTTGAAAAGACTTCTGGGCCTGCAGATACACTTGTAATGTTTTTCATAATAATTTCCCAGTTGAAGAAACTTGCTGCTGTCATTCCCAGCTCCAACGCAGGGAGACATCAAACATAGCAGGAGGAACTCAAGCAGTGCTGGAGGCCAAAAAGGCACATTTTTACACTGGCACAGGTCACTTCTCCTCTGATGAGATGTTCTGCAGGGACGTTTCTAGAAGTGGGCCTTGGTAGAACTATTTCAGGCTGATTTGAGTGGGATTTTGGTTCATGGGAGACCAAACATGGCACTGACTGGCAGGACAGTGGAAAATGACAGTGCTTGCACCTTACCTGGATAGGGCTTTCTTTAAAGTACGGAGGCTCCCCCTCCAGCATTTCAATGGCCACGATCCCAAGGGCCCAGACGTCCACTTGGGTGTTATATTCCTTTCTTTTCAGGATTTCTGGTGCTACCCAGTAAGGAGTGCCAAGCACTGTGCACCGTGTGCTCCGCTCCTGGGTCAGCTGAGCACACAGGCCAAAATCAGCTGAGGAGGAAAACACAAATACTGTCAAAACCAGCTTGAACCATGAAACCAAGCACAAGAGTTCCCCACTCTATATCTGAGAACACGGGGATGTTGTGCCTGACCAAGAATACCTACTCAGTTTCACAGATCCGTCCATCCCAAGAAGAATATTGTCACTTTTGACATCTCTATGGATCACGTTCTTTGAATGAAGGAAATCCAGGGCTTTGAGGCACTGAGACAAAACCCATGAGGGTAAAAGTTAATTAACCTCATTTCATCACTCAAGAAAAGGAAATGGCTCTAAAAGATTGAATTTCTAGGTGAAACACCAATTGTTCACATAGACTGTCCATTCCTAACCCAGCCAGAATGGCTGCAGTGGTTCTGCTCTCTCCATCCAGGTGACAAAGGAGGGTTTGTCAAAAAGGAAAATATCTCTCCCTCCTTTATGAAGTGGATCATTTTGTGTGGGAGGCTGCATCACAGAGGCTTTGTGTTGGCCTCAACAGCAGAGCTGGGAGTAGCACATTAGTCATTTTTCAGAAGCAAACACCATTTGGGGTGCAATGCTCTCCTTTTAAGCTGAGGGCTGTGAGAAATGAGGCTCTATTTTAATCTGCTGTTAGTTTAAAATTCTGCCACAAGCATGTTTGCTTTTACAGGCCAAGAATGCAGTGCAGACATGCTCCAGTTTAATGAGGCAAAGTTTAGAATGTTAAATAAATTTAAAAAGAGACTATGACAAAAGTGTATAACAGAGTATAAGAAATGCAGTTGTATTGGTAGGAGGCTCACTTAGATGCATTTTGTCTTAGGTTGACACACATCTTGCAAATGTACATTTAGATGAGAAAACAATGAGTAACAAATATTGAGAGCAAAGCTATAAAGTGGACAGGTTCTCTGCTGCATGGCATTGCATTACAAGAATACTCAGACCCGGGATGGTTATTACAAGTAGTAAAAACAGTTCACAACACCTCACAAAAATGGAATATTTTCCTAGTCAAATCTTCTGACAAAAGGAAATTCTGTTAAGGGAGAAGAGCCATAGGGAATAGAGGTGTGGATCTAGGTACATTTTGTGATTTTATGGCACGGCTTTTTGGGGTTTCCTTAAGTCCATTTCTTACAAAATGTGTATTTGTGAGTGACCCCATCTTTTCCAAGACTTTGCCTGTCCTCCACTGCCTGTGGTTCTGTTGGCAGTGTACTATTGCATTTGTATTTTTAATTTTCCTTGTAAAGAACTGTTATTCTTACACCTATATCTTTACCTGAGAGCCTCTTAATTCAAAATTATAATAATTCAGAGAGAAGGGGTTTACATTTTCCATTTCAAGAGAAGCTCCTGCCTTCCTTAATAGACACCTATCTTTTCAAACCAAGACGCTTTTTTATTTTATATTTCATAACAGCAGTGCTGAAACAAAGCTCTTAACACAAAGTCACTCCTGTCCCATCCTGTCCAAGGCATTGGAAGGACAAACAGGGTCCCTCACCTCCCTGCTGATAGCAGCTATTATTCTTTCCTCCATAAAGACTTGGACAAGAACGCTGGTTAAAGTGCCTCCATCCACATATTCCATCACGAGCCACAGGTCTTCATTCACCAGGTAGCTGAGAGAAGAAAACAAAGGCATGGAGGTGAATGTGCACAGCTAAATTACATTATGGAAAAGATTACAGGGGAGTTTTGTTTCCAGGTCACTTTTAAATGGAGGCAGAGTGAAATGGAGAGACATTCCTTGTAGCCTACGGAGTATTTGGAACCTGCGCAGTCTAAACGAGAAAGGCAAATCCATGAAAAAGGAGATGCCTTAGATGGCAAACAAGAATAATGCAGTTTAGTAACAGCAGAGATCAATCTGGAACCAGGACACTTGCCATCAGCTGAGTCATTTTCTCAATTTATCAGTTCCACCATTCATTCCAGGAACAAGGCAACACAACTCCCAAGTTACCCATGGGAGAAGGCTCTGTACCACTGAGGACAGACGTTGGCCAACCATTTGGAAAACACTGCATAAAATACAGCCAGAAACAGGAAAAACTATGTAAAAACTGGCAAATTATGTGGTTATGCAAATGAGAATTTAGTCTTCCTGGCTTCGACGGCAATGGAAAATGGTGGGAACAGCCCAAGGGAGATAATTTCTATGATGGTTTATCAGCACTTATTGTTAAGGCATAGAAAGTAGGATCAACCTGAAAAAACCAAATCCCCAAAACAACACAGAGGTAATGAACTGACAGGCTGTTTTTTTTTAGCAAGATGTGGCACATCCAGGTTTTTGAAAAGAGGTTTCCAACAACATACACCAGAAAAGATTAATGGAGACCCAAGGCCACCTCCTCCCATCCACTGGAGATGAATAGAGAATTAAGAAAGAGCTCCAGTTCTGCCAGTGCCCAAAGGGGTTATTTAACCTTTATCTTGCTGTTAACATTCCCATGCTAACACCAGAACCACTCACCTGTCTATGTAATTGACAATATTGGGATGTCTGTTTTCCTTCATGACCTGAATCTCATTGACAACGAGTTCATTTCTGCTCCGTTTGCGGAGAGGCATCTTCTTTAGGGCCACCTGAAATGAAATTGGAGACCATTGGACTCCAGCAGTTCTGCTGCAGGAGAGCACAATGACCACGGAGAGAGAGTTTTTGGCATGATGGGGCTGGACTGTGCCACCTGCCCTGAAACCTTGTGATCAGACACCAGGGCTCAGGGAGTGACAGGACAACAGCTGATTTCTCCACTTGCTTTGGTGCCACTTACAGGACACTTGTCAGAGACATTTTGCCTTCTAAACTCTGCAAAAATTTCTCTAAACTATCACCCACAGATCTTTGACAACATTCTGCACTCACATTCTTCCCTGACGGCCTCAGTTTATCACCTCTGTTATTATTCACACAGATTTTCTTTGTGAAAATATATCAAAACAGCTGGGAATCCTTCAGCAATTCTATGGGGTTTGTCCACTATTTCAGCAATTGCTGCTGGTCTTGGTTGCATAAAAAAGCACATTCGTGCACGATGGATAAAATCCCAGCCTAAAAGATCATAGCAGTTACAAACACACACAAAAAATTACAATCCCACAACGTTTCTCACTTCTTGAACTTCAATTTTGCTACTCCATGAGCAATCTGAACTCCACAGTTCAGATTTGCAATAATTTTCTGGGTTTCTAAAGATATAACCCATTTTCTGGTATTTTAACCCTAATTATGTCCTTCTCTGAAAGATACCACTGCCCCTCTTGCATTCTTTTTGGAGCTGAGTAGGAACAAAGTCTGTCCAAAATGTGTTTTGCAGGCTGCCACTGCTCTGTGCTTGAGGAGCAGCCTGCCCAGGAAAGCTCTACTGGCCAAAGCTCCAGCAGAGCTCACAGCAGAGTGGAAAGCCCTGAAGAGCTGCACAAAAATGGGAAAGCCCTGAAGAGCTGGGGGTGTTGGCACTCACCACATCTCCTGTGGCTGGGTTGATGGCTTTGTAAACAGTCCCGAAACCCCTGGAAATGAAAGAGCAGTGAAAAAAGGAGGAGCAGGTTAGGTGCTGGGAGTGAAAGCCAGGGCAGACTGGAGATCTCTGCTGCATGAAGTGTTTTAAAAGCCCTTGGTCCATCTGTTCTTCAGACAGCAGCACAGCAGCCCTCTGTCATGCAAGGTGTCCAAGGGAAAACAGAGAAGAAAACTGAAGAAAAAGAGCTGGAGCACAGAGCTTCAAAACCTAAGAGCAGGGGAGAGTGTGCCTATAAAAACTGAGAAATATTTAATTTAATTTTTTTTTCCATTTTGCCTTGTTATGTTGGGTTTTTTTCCTTCTTTTTGTGTCTGTGTGTGTATTTTTTCCAGGGAATATATGCTGCAGACTACACAGGGTGGGATTTCGTATGACAGTGTGAGAGTTTATTATTTCACCTCTGGTTTCAATTGCTAAACTAAGTGGTTATATTCTGGATTACCAAATATTTTTTAAGTAAAATATTTGAAATAAATGTTATTGAGAAATTTTATCTGACAGTGGGGTGGTAAGGTGCTCTTATCGGCAAAAAGGTTTGAGGGATGGGAGATTTTCAGGTCCCAATCCTTGTTGCAGGCAAGGCACTGCCAGTATTGAGTTTTCTTTGACAACACATTTTGACCAAAATTATTAATTCTGACCTGTACTGAGATGGGAGGATCTAAACCCACATCATGTTTGGAGCTTGCCTGGATTCACACATGCTATTACAGCAGCAAAATACCCAGCCCGTGGCTTTGTAGGAGTAACTGGAACTGGACTTACCCTTGGCCAATGTGAACAAATTCAGTGTATTTGGTCTTAGGGTCTCCCTCGCTCACAATGCCCCCTGAAAGAAATGAAATGTAGGATGCTCACTTCAAACAGACACCACCCTCCAGCAGATTGAAAATGCAGCCCCACTGTCTGGCTGTGAGCCCTCTGTGGGCAACAACAACAACAGAGGCAGTGCTAAAGCACAGATTTTTCTGATTTTCTACAGTGCTTTGAAGAGTTACCTAGACAGGAAACAAAGCACCAGGAGAAATATCCACAGAAGACAGAAATCAGGAAAGACCAGGTACCAAAGCAAGAATTTGTTTTCTACAAACATTTAGAAGAGCTAAAACAACACAGCCTTTATTTTCCTGGGAATAAACCCTTTGTGTGAGTCAATAAAAGGTTGGATATTGCTGAAGATTAAATACACTTTGGGCTCTGGGATTAATTTTTAAGAAACGGTGCAAAGTGTTTCCAGGAGAGAAGAGGACCTTCCCAACTTTCAGCAGTTTGCCAAAAGAGAGTCTTTATGATTTTAAAGAACAGCATCTCATGTAATAACCAATAATGATGGGGCTTTAGGATCCAGGACCCTTATCAAAGGTTACCAGGTTAAATTCTGATGATTACCTTGCCTGTGCCATTTGAAGGACCACACTGCTTGTTTTCAATCTAATAGATTGTTATGAAGTGCTTTTGCTCCAATGACTTGTCAGGGGACTAAAGAGAATTTAGGAGCCCAAATATCCTTCTTGATTTGGCCATCAGCACTCAGGAGTTCAGAAGTTCATTCACTAGGTCCAAGCACTTTCTGCTGAATCAGAAACCATCCCTGCTTTTGCCTTCAGCACAGATGGAAGCGCAGAGAAACTGAACCCAGTCTGAGCTGCCCTCAGGAATGCCCAGAGAGAATTCCTGCTTCCCCTGTCCCTTTGGTGCAGCTGAAGTGGGGACACACACACCAGACACGAGGCACACCACACGTACTCAGCTGCTCCAGCAGCTCTGCTGTCAGCTGGCATTCCTTCTGCAGCCAGACCCTGGGTTTGTCCAGAGTGCGTGTGCTTCTGCTGAGGGTGTCAGACATGAGAAACGTCTCATCATCCGCATCTTCAGCTCCCAGCAGAGAGCTCGTGTGGATCTGTGACGAGAAATTAATGTCAGGAAGGGAGCTTGCAGGCATCTCCTGAGCTCGTATTCCAAATGCAAACCCTCAGGAAGATGCCTGTCAGCCACATCCAGTGCACTAAATCTGTTTTTTGCTGTCCGCATCACAAACTGAATGAACAAAAACAAAACAAGTTCACAGCCAGTTTCATGTTCTATTTTCATGGATTTTCTCAAATAATCTGTGCAGAGGGGCAGGTACATCCAGGAGACAATTTCTCCTGTATCCTGCAAGAGAAACTGATGCCTAAAAGGGAAGTTCAAAACCAATTTTCCAGGTGCCAGTGGCTGGGGTGAAGCACAATGTCATGGCAGGACTCCGGCCCTCAGCACCTCCAGCTGTGAATGGCAGCTGCTGTCTGACCAGAGACTCCGAATTGCACCAATAGTAACCGAGGCTGGCACTTACTGCTTCTGCTGAGGCAACAGCTGCAAATTCCCTGTCCACCTCCTCATTATCCTCTTGTGCAGGAAGGGAAAGAGGTCGAGGTCCTCGTGGCAGTGTTCTGGCCTGGGCACAGTCAGAAACAGGAGTGAGACTCTCCCTTCTGCCACTTGGGAGGTTCAATAGTTACACACAACTTTCTGCTGCTTTGACATCAGAAACTGATCTAGACATGGCCCTAGAGCCTCAGTTCTCTCTTGCATGTGTCACAATTTAAATATCTGTAAATTATGGGGGGCTGAAACAGCCCCAGCTGCTGCTCTGCAGGGGCAGAGCATTACATCGTTGCCCCAAATTTGCTGTTTCCCAACTGCTTTAAAGCTGTCACAAAGGCCACTTAGAGAACTGAAGCAAATCAAAGGCACCATTCTACACTTCACATCTCACTGGTGCTCTATTTAAAATGTTTAATATTAACCCTAATAAATTTGGCCAATATTAATGTGGATGTCATGCCTCTCTCCAGGATTGTTATTGCAACTCAACATTAATAAGTGTGGATTGTTATTTAAAACTTTCTTTCAATGGCTCCAGTGAGTCACATTATCAATTTTAACCTTATTTATGCTCAGCTGTCTATCTACCTGTACTAAAGATAAATCATGAAACTTGATAGAAAGGGAATTCTAAGTTGTTAAAATTAAATTAAAATGAGGCAATTATACAGTATTGAAAATTGCTGTGAATTAGATATTCCACCATGGCCAAACCCACAATCTTCTCCCTGCAACTGTCATCTGTTTAAAAACTTTGAACAGACATGGAGGAAACAACCAGGGATCCCCCTGCTGCTGCTGCAAAACCAGACATGGACATTGTTTCAGGCTAGCACACTGTTGGAGCAGGCAAAGCTCACTCACAGCTTGCTCCACAGTTCTTAAACTCCAGGAATGTCACAGGTTCCTTTCCCACTCACCAAAGGATGGACTGCCATGTATCTACGTCTGGATAACTGGGTGATCAGATCTGCAGTGGGCAAGAGATGAACCAGATGCTGTTAGAAAACTGCCCCTTGTAGGGCATCCCCCATGGAACAAGTCAGCCCAAATAAGTGAGCATTTTTATTTCAAAACATCCCTCTAGGAGCAACAGCTCTTTTCACAGTGAGCAACAGAACAGGACAAAATACCAGAATTTCTTTTCTATATTTTTCTATTTTTTGTGCTGTTTCACCAGTAAATAAACAGAAACTCAGTCAGGAAAATGTAAATTGCTCATTAATAGTCAATGATTCTACTCTGCCCAAGAGCTAAAGAAGTTTTCCTTTTTTGTTTTTCCTATTATTAAATTGCATATGTTGGTTCTTTTTAGCTTGCTGAAAATGCTTCCCTAGAAAAGCTTTCCCAAAATCCCCTTAGCAGTGTGAATTCTATTCTGACACTGCACAGGAACAGCTCCTGGGTTCAGGAGCACACACTGTTGGGAAGGTACATTTCCTCATGAAGGTCATCTCTATTTTAGAACAGGTTGTTAGTCAAATCCTCTAATTATGGGGAAAAAATATGTTTTCCCTCAGTTCTGAAGATAATTGCACCATTTTTAGAAGCACTTCTGACAAGCTCTTCCAGTCTGCATTTTGGAAATTGGCTGAAGCAGCAAAGTGAGGGAATTACAGACTCTCCAGACTGTTGAGCATAGGGAATGGAACCCCCACGGGGCTCCCCACATTCCAAATGCTGTCCCCATTGAGACACCCCTTTTAGCAGAAGCTGTTGACAGGAGCTCTGCCAAACCAATGACATCCCACTGGCATTTCTGTTCCAAAATCAGCTCAGTTCCTAAGGAAGAGCAGAAAGGACACAGTGATCCCAAAGCCAGATATGCTGCACCTTGGGAAAAGCACTACTTACTCCTCAGATGAGCTATCACCAGCCAGGGTTTGTCTGGATAAAAATAGATGGCAGATGTGGCAGACAGAAAATCACACGCTGTGGCAGCGATTTGCCGGATCATTTCTGCAGATCTGCGCTAGAAGTTGCAGATCAGCAGAGCCCAAACGCCAGATAAAACCCCGGCTGGCTTGCAGGCGCTCACTGAGAGCTCCTGGAGGAGAAGGTGTTGCTGGAATGCCAGCAGGAGGCATTCAGGAGCTCTGACTGCAGGGGTGGCAGTGTCCTGCTGGCGCTGCGGGGACTTGCCAACGTTTCGGTGACACCCCAGTGGGCTCCTGACATCACAGTGGCAGCGCTGTAGGTTCCCGCTCTGTGGAATGGCTCCGGGCTGCCTCCTGAGCAGCTTTTGCTCCTTCTGGAGCCTGACATCCCATAAAGGCACTGAGATGTCAGCCCTCCTCCTGATGCAAAGCTCCTATTTTGGCATGGAACTCACCTGGAAATCAACTCTGAACTTCCAGGGAGTAAGGATTTAAGGCTAAACTCAAACTCGTGTCCCTGGTGGCTCTTTGATTCCATGACAAAACTCCTTTCTATTGGTAGACAAAACAGTGCCTTCAGGAGCTTTGCACCTGACTTCTGATGCTGAGGAACAAAAACATCTTGCTGAAATGGTCTCTGCTGTCTGGTTAGAGGGTAAACCCCACCCTGCTGGAATTAATTTTCAGCACACCAGGGAACACAGTGGGGAAAGACTCTGCGTCTCACAATCCTACACTGAGGTGCTAAGGACTCTCCTGGTCGAGCTCCTGGAGCCCTGCTGTCAGTGTACAGAAAACAGAGCTCGGAACACTCCTGATGCCCCTACAAAAACATATTCCTGCAGACGTGAGGGAACCCCGCAGGATCAGCTCCCTTCAATCCTTCTCCCCTCCAATTCCTGTGTGCACAGAAGATGTACTCGGGCTCTGAATAGCTTTTCTCTCTGCAACAATGGAATATCAGGGCCCTTTCAGAGCATCATTTCATCCATTTCTCTCCCTTCCACCCTCTCATGAATTACTAATTTGAAGTGACTTAATATCTATTCTCTAGTCCCCTTCGGCTTTGCATATTTTAATTATGCCTCTTCCTAATCCTCATTTTCCCAGACCAGACTTAAATAACCCAAATTACCCCATCAGTAACTGTCTTTGATACTTCAGTTATTGCAGCTAATTTGTCACTTTTGCCAAACATGCTGTTTTTGAGGTTTTTTCTAACACTAAGCGATCACACACTCTGTTCCACTAGCTCTTACCTATAAACCAAAGCGATCTGCTGCATGAAATGCCACCTCCATCAAAATCTGCTTTTTAAAAAATTATTTCTGCTAAATCAGTTCCTGGAAGATTTTACTGACATTTTGCAGCCTTATCTTGGACTGCCAATGGCAAGTGAGGACAGTGGAGTTGTTGGAGAAATTTTGCTTGTCTCTGCTCAGCCTGAGGATTGCTCCAGTTCAAACCAGAACAATAAATGTCCTTTGCAAAGGGATTTTTCTGCAAAACACTGAGGCTTTTGTTAGAATACAATGTTTGCCAAGAGAGGAGCAGTCACACAGTTATTTTGGCAGTGAGAGGGCATCTTTAGCCAAGACAATAAATAACTGCTGGTCCCAGAGAGCTGCTGCCATGTGCTTGTGCAGCACAAGGAAAAGACCCCAGGTAAATTAGAAAGCCCCTAAAAAGAAAACACGCTCACACTCATAGTTAATAATGCAGATACTGGATCTGTCATATATTTTAGGAGGCAAAGAAACTGTGATCTTGGCATTTTTTATTAAGCTTTTCCTCTGTCACTTTGAAGCAAACTTTTGAAGGGTGAAATTCCATTTATTTTCAGAAAATACAGATCCCAGGGGCAGGAGACAGGCAGAGAAGGAGGGGCTGCAGGAGCAGACGGTGCCCCTGGAGCTGTGACAAAGGCAGACTGCCAGGCACTGGGCACAGTCTCAGTGCCTGTCTCATCAGGGTCCTTGTGTTTTCCCAGTTTGGAAGGAAGCTCCTTGCAATCCCATCCTTCTCTGCTCCAAGCAGGGCCCAGCCCCAACCCACTGAGTGTCCTCAGCAAGAGCAGGAGTAAGGAATGGCATCTGAGCACAAGGCATCAAGTAAAACCAAACTGTCCAGACAAGAAATGCCAGCAATGACCGTGGAGAAGGATTCTGAGCTGCCCCAGGGCTCTTGGACCTGAGCAGGATTCTGAGCTGCCCCAGGGCTCTTTTACACTTCAGCATAAAACGTGGTACTGAGATCACCAAAACCACGAGAGCAAAGCCCAGAAGTGCTGTGAGTTTCTGAGGAGTGGAGAGCACTGCCTGGGGATAACCACAGAAACCATCAGAATTGCTCCAGGCCTGGGTTTCACTTTCCACCTGCTGAGGCAGGGAGATTTATCCAGCTTCAAGCATGAAAAAGCATGTCATGTTTGCAGTGTGCCCTGCTTCAACAGCGATCTTCTCATCCCTGGCAGTTTCCCTTCTCCACAAGTATCCATCTGTTGGGAAATATATTTGGAAAAAGAAAAAGTTACTTAAATAACTAGCATTCAGGAATGATTCCTTTTTCCAGAATTTTATTTGGTGTTATGTGAAGAGTTCTTTCTGTGCATGTTATAAAGAAATTTGCTCATTTGGGCTTTCCCACTAGCAGAGGGATCTATGATAGTAAAAGGGTTTTAAAATCATGGGGATTTAGGGTTCAAAGGAAAATTAAGCTTAGTAGACCCTGAGAAAAAATAAATACCCTAGGTACATGAAGGCCTTGTACCTTGCTAGAACTGCACCTGTGTAGCCAGTACATGATAAATGATATAATTGCTAGATGTGATGATTCTTTAGTAATTAAATACAATGACTGTTTAATCGTAAGAATAATCATGAGAAACTGTGGTCAGCGGCCTAAGAAAGATCATGAGAAACTCACGTATAATAAGGTCAATGTATAAAATAGAACAATGTAAGTTTAATAATTACTATGTAAGTTATATAACGATAGAATATAAAATACGTTCAGCTTGAAAGCCATGTCGGAGTCAGATTTGGGTCTGTACCCCTGATTGCCAGAGCTCTCAATAAAAGCACAGGGCTGCCCGGGGCCGCTCCGGCCCTCACGGTCCCGCACCGCCCGTCCCGGGGGGCCACAGCCCCGACACCGCCGGAGCCCCCTCAGCCGGTGCCCCTCACTGTCACTGCCCGAGCCCCTCACCGCCACAGACCCCTCACCGCCGGAGCCACGACACTGCCGGAGCTCCCTCACCTGCTGCCGCGCTGCCACGCAACTGCATCCCAGTGAGGCGCAGGATGCCGGAGCTGCCCGCCTCCCCCAGGGCCGAGCAGGAGAGGCCAAAGTGCGTGGGACCCCAGCCCCGCCGCGCCGGTGCCGGTACCGGTTCTGGTCCCAACACCGCTCCCTGTGCCCCGCCCGGCCGCCATCTTGGCACGGCCCCCACAGACCCCCCTCAGCAATCACGGGGGCGTGGCCTCTGCCCGCCCCTCGGTCGCTCCCGCCAATCGGCGGCGGGGGCGGAGCTGAGGGGCGGGGCTAGGCGGGGAGGGGCGGGGCTGTGAACGCCGGGCGCCAGGGGGCGCTGCCGGGCCGGGACTGAGGCGGGAGAGCCGGGAATGGGAAACTGGGAATGGGAATGGGAATGGGAATGGGAATGGGAATGGGAATGGGAATGGGAATGGGAATGGGAATGGGAACTGGGAATGGGAATGGGAACTGGGAATGGGAATGGGAATGGGAATGGGAATGGGAATGGGAATGGGAATGGGAATGGGAATGGGAATGGGAACTGGGAATGGGAATGGGAACTGGGAATGGGAATGGGAATGGGAATGGGAATGGGAACTGGGAATGGGAATGGGAACTGGGAATGGGAATGGGAATGGGAATGGGAATGGGAATGGGAATGGGAATGGGAATGGGAACTGGGAATGGGAATGGGAACTGGGAATGGGAATGGGAATGGGAATGGGAATGGGAACTGGGAATGGGAATGGGAACTGGGAATGGGAATGGGAATGGGAATGGGAATGGGAATGGGAACTGGGAATGGGAATGGGAATGGGAATGGGAACTGGGAATGGGAATGGGAATGGGAACGGGAACGGGAATGGGAATGGGAATGGGAATGGGAATGGGGGAATGGGAATGGGAATGGGAATGGGGGAATGGGAATGGGAATGGGCATGGGAATGGGAATGGGAACGGGAATGGGAATGGGAATGGGAATGGGAATGGGAATGGGAATGGGAACTGGGAATGGGAATGGGAATGGGAATGGGGGAATGGGAATGGGAATGGGAATGGGGGAATGGGAATGGGAATGGGAATGGGAATGGGAATGGGAATGGGAATGGGGGAATGGGCATGGGAATGGGAATGGGAATGGGAATGGGAATGGGAATGGGAACGGGAATGGGAATGGGAATGGGAATGGGAACTGGGAATGGGAATGGGAATGGGAATGAGAATGGGGGAATGGGAATGGGAATGGGAATGGGGGAATGGGAATGGGGGAATGGGAATGGGAATGGGAATGGGAATGGGAATGGGAATGGGAAACTGGGAATGGGAATGGGGAATGGGAACTGGGAATGGGAATGGGAATGGGAATGGGGAATGGGAATGGGAATGGGGAATGGGGAATGGGGAATGGGAACTGGGAATGGGAATGGGAAACTGGGAATGGGAATGGGAATGGGAAATGGGAACTGGGAATGGGAATGGGAATGGGAATGGGAATGGGAATGGGGGAATGGGAATGGGGGAATGGGAATGGGAATGGGGGAATGGGAATGGGAATGGGAATGGGAATGGGAATGGGAACTGGGAATGGGAATGGGAATGGGAATGGGAATGGGAATGGGAATGGGGGAATGGGAATGGGAATGGGGGAATGGGAATGGGAATGGGAATGGGAATGGGAATGGGAACTGGGAATGGGAATGGGAATGGGAACGGGAACTGGGAATGGGAACTGGGAATGGGAATGGGAATGGGAACTGGGAATGGGAATGGGAATGGGAACTGGGAATGGGAATGGGAATGGTAATGGGAATGGGAATGGGAATGGGAATGGGAAACTGGGAATGGGAATGGGAACTGGGAATGGGAATGGGAATGGGAATGGGAACTGGGAATGGGAATGGGAACTGGGAATGGGAATGGGAATGGGGGAATGGGAATGGGAATGGGAATGGGAACGGGAACGGGAATGGGAATGGGAATAGGAATGGGGAATGGGAATGGGAATGGGGGAATGGGAATGGGGGAATGGGGGAATGGGAATGGGAATGGGAATGGGAATGGGGGAATGGGAATAGGAATGGGGGAATGGGGATGGGAATGGGAATGGGAATGGGAATGGGGGAATGGGAATGGGAATGGGGGAATGGGAATGGGAATGGGAATGGGAATGGGGGAATGGGAATGGGAATGGGAATGGGAATGGGAATGGGAATGGGAACTGGGAATGGGAATGGGAATGGGGGAATGGGAATGGGAATGGGGGAATGGGAATGGGAATGGGGGAATGGGAATGGGAATGGGAATGGGAATGGGAATGGGGGAATGGGAATGGGAATGGGGGAATGGGAATGGGAATGGGAATGGGAATGGGAATGGGAATGGGAACTGGGAATGGGAATGGGAATGGGGGAATGGGAATGGGAATGGGAATGGGAATGGGGGAATGGGAATGGGAATGGGAATGGGAATGGGAACTGGGAATGGGAACTGGGAATGGGAATGGGAATGGGAATGGGAATGGGAACGGGAATGGGAATGGGAATGGGGGAATGGGAATGGGAATGGGAACTGGGAATGGGAATGGGAACGGGAATGGGAATGGGAATGGGGGAATGGGAATGGGAATGGGAACTGGGAATGGGAATGGGAACGGGAATGGGAATGGGGGAATGGGAACGGGGAATGGGAACGGGAATGGGAACTGGGAATGGGAATGGTGAATGGGAATGGGAACTGGGAATGGGAATGGGAATGGGGGAATGGGAATGGGAACTGGGAACGGGAATGGGAACTGGGAATGGGAATGGGAATGGGAACTGGGACTGGGAACTGGGAATGGGAATGGGAATGGGAATGGGAATGGGAATGGGAACTGGGAATGGGAATGGGAATGGGAATGGGAATGGGAATGGGGAATGGGAATGGGGGAATGGGAATGGGGGAATGGGAATGGGAATGGGAATGGGGATGGGGATGGGGATGGGAATGGGAATGGGAATGGGGGAATGGGAATGGGGGAATGGGAATGGGAATGGGGGAATGGGAATGGGAATGGGAATGGGGGAATGGGAATGGGGGAATGGGAATGGGAATGGGAATGGGAATGGGAATGGGAATGGGAAACTGGGAATGGGAATGGGGAATGGGAACTGGGAATGGGAATGGGGGAATCGGGAAAAAAACTGGGAATGGGAACTGGGAATGGGAATGGGGGAATGGGGGAATGGGGAAAAAATGGGAATGGGAACTGGGAATGGGGGAATGGGAATGGGAAACTGGGAATGGGAATGGGAAACTGGGAATGGGGAATGGGAGTGGGAGCTGGGAATGGGAAACTGGGAATGGGGAATGAGAAACTGGGAATGGGAGCTGGTAATGGGGAATGGGAATGGGGAATGAGAAACGGAATGGAGAATGGGAAACTGGGAATGGGAAACTGGGAATGGGAAACTGGGAATGGGAAACTGGGAATGGGAATTCCAAAATTATTGTTATTACTCAAAACTCTTTTTGGTTTTGATGGGAACATTAGACTGCATAAATGCTTCATATGAACGCACCTTTCCCATCCCAGTGATTGCAGTTTGAGTTTTTCCCTCGCTGCCGTTGGTTGTGAGAGTAAAAGGGTTTAATGCGATCCTAACTTGCCACCTCGTGGCATTTCTGTGAATTAGCACAGCTCGATTTTCTGGAGCCAGGTTAGGCTTATATTCATTTCCTAAGGAGAGGGCTTCACCCTCCCTGCCAGGGAAAAGCAGCTGGGGGCTGTTCTGCAGCCTGGGGTGGCAGAGAGGCCACAGGTGGTTGAACCAGGTGCTGCGTGGCTGCTGAAATTGTGGTGGACCAGAGGAAATGTGACACATGCCAGAAGATAAAACAGGGATACCAGACACAACAGCATCTAATAATTTTTAATTTATTATTTTCACAATTGTATTGAATATTCCTTTGCTTTTAGAAGAACACCTATGTTTTCATATATGTTGGATTGCTATATCTTTATAGGTAGCAGGAAATCAAATCACAGGGAGGAAAAACCCCATGGGATCACCTACAGTTTTCCTTGTTCCTGCTTAGCATAAAAGTGCAAATTTAAATCTTCTTCGCAAATATGTGTAGCTCAACAGAATTTTGCTTTCTCGGTAATATTGCAATTGCTTTTACTGAGATGGAGGGGGCTTCTGCTCTGTTTATTTTTATAAGTAACAGTTAGAGCTGTGCTGCTTTCTTTCAGCTGTTTATTAGCATGTCTGGGTTTGGTTTTCTTTGTGAGACAATATGCCAGGGTGAGTTTCTGAACAATTTTTTTCACTTGAATATAGAGATTGAATTTTTATCAGATAATCTTTCATTAGCACAGAAAGTTAAGAACTTGTAGAGCTTCCAGAGGGAGCAATTGTTTAGAACAACTGCTTTCCTGTGGAATGGCCTAAATTCTGATTTATCAATGCTTGTTACTTCTTAGTTAGCTGAATACTTAATAGAGAAGAAGAACATTGTGTTGTACTGTATCCTTTTCAATTTTTCTTAATAGTTTTTGTTCTTTTCCATTTTGGGAAAGAAAGAGCTGGCTGCTGGCAGTGAGAGACCTTTTTTTATTTAGTATAGAATGAATTTAAACACAATTGGTAAGAATTGATGATTAATTAATTAATAATTGCTAAATCAGCATTTAGGCCCCTCCACAGGAAAGAAGCTGTTCTAAACAATAATTTGATTTATATGCCAGTCTTATGCTGCAGCAATAATATTGGGTTTGTTCTTTTTAAGGTTTAGGGGAGAATTCCAGGGATTTCCTGGCTATCAGAGAACTACAGAACTATAGAATATCCTGAGTTGGAAGGGACCCACAAGGAGCATCGATGTCCAGCTCCTGGCTGGCCTTAGAGTTCTCCTGTAACCACAGAATGGGACCACAAGAGGTCAACAGCGACCTGTAATGGCTAATACCCCTTCTTTCTATATATGAAATACATTATAATAAAAACACCCAATCAAACTAGATTTTCTACTTATTTTAGAGAAGATCTTCTATTGTTTATAGAAATAATTTTAAGATTGTTAACAATCTCTTTTTCTAAAGACATTTGAAGGGTGATGATCTAGCACTCATTAACGTTTGCCTTTATACAGAAAGGAAGTTACCAAAAACTAAGTAAATTACCTAAAATTGTATGTTTTCCAGAGATCATGAGTGGTTTTGTTCATATAATAATAA